CCAAATTGCAGATGAATAAATTATGCTTGGGGAGGGGTTTGCCGAAAATCTTGAAAATCGTGATCTTAGAGATTCTTGGCATGAGGGGCTAGCTGCCTGTTCCAAGAATCCTCCTTCCCCAGCTGCAGTGGAATAAGGTGTTAGTGGCAGAAGAGGGAGAGGGGGAGTGTTGTGTACAGCTGGCTGTGGTTTCTGGCCCTGAGCTTAAAAACACGGTTGTCTCCTTGAGGTAAGTTTACTTACAGTGCTGCTTCAGCTTGGTAAGAGGAACCGAGTGAGAATTTGAGAGCAATCTGATATCAAGACAAGATACTCCCAAGAAGACAGACCTTGGAGGCAGGTCCATCTGAAGCTTGATAACTGCAGGTGCTCCCTTATGGAAGAGTGGCTACAAAACAGATGAACTAAGGAAAAACTCCCAACTGCCGAGGAAGTGGATTTTAAAATGTGGACCTGATGGGAGCTCTCAAAGTGCTCCAGCAAACAGAGTATCCTGTCCTTCAAATTCCACCTGACAAATTGCTCCATAGTCATGTCCCTTACCTGACAGCACCCAAACCGATGTCCCTGGACCACCAGCATCAGCATCACCTGAGAAACTGATACAAATGCAAAATCTGTCTTCACTCCAAACCTACTGAATCTGAAACTGTGAGGGTGGGGCCAGTAATCTGTGCTTTAACAAGCCCTCCAGGTGATGCTGATGCATGTTCAAGTTTGTTTTTAAACTATGCAGAAAAACGTTTTCTTCCTAAGTGGAGGACAAGTGTCCCAGGGGTGCAGAGTTATTGTAAAGTTTGAGAAATCAATACTTGAATCCCGGAAATCAGGAGGCATAAAAGTTGTAGAGCTCACAGGGCAATTAGAAACACCAAAATTGTTGAATTGTAGCTGTCCTAGGAACACAAGGGGAGGTTTGAATGTGGATTTGGAGAAAGTAAAAAATCCGCCATATGCAGGTGTCAAGTAATTACTCCCTACATGGGGGAGCAGCAAGAAAATGCCATCATATCAAGTAGCACAAAAGATTTCATCAGGCAAAAGGTGGAATGTTGGTGCTGTATTAACTTGCTCCAAGGAGCTTTGGTTAATGCCTCCCTTTCCTCCTCTCCTGATTTCATTTAGAGCTGTCCTTGGGAGAGCAAGAAACTGAGCCAATATCCAGAGACCTAGAGGGATAAGAGTGATGTCTCAGTGGAATTCATAATAAAACATGGTTTCTGTTTTCTGGGCTAGCTGCTGCTCCATCATACTCACTGCTTGCCCTTCATTTTATCTCTGGGCTAGATTAATTCTCAGAGAATGGAGTCATTTTCCTGATAGAAACTCTCAGCACTGATTGAAAGGAGAAAGAGAAGGGGATTAGTGAGGTTTTTGTGTTTGTCCTAATGCACTTTAGAAACCTCCTTCAACTAAAAGGCATCCTGGAGACACACTTTTCTGGTTTCCTTTCCTGTTTCTCATACTGATTTGAATACTTGTGGTGTAAATAAACCCCATTCTTTTCTCTTTGTCTTTCCTCTTTCCTAACTAGGTGCCGGTATGTATTAATGCAATACCTGCTGTGTGCAGTGCACAGTGCTAGACGGCCTCACGAGCCCACATTTTCATCCCATCTTCTCCAACATTTGAAAAGAAGTAAATTGTAAAATAATCTTTTTCTTCATATCCATGTCACTATTTCTTCAGGCTTTAATTTTGCCCCTGTGTGTTGCTCTCCAAGTGAAGAAATTGGGGTTCCTATACCTTAAGCTATTTGTGAAAAAGCAGGTAATTTTTAGAAACCAAAGAGAACACACAAACATCCTTTCATGGTGGGGTTGCAGCCTGGATCCAGGGCTTTACTGGGTTTGTGGTTTCTGTTGGTTCTTTTTCTTGTCTTTTTAAGATTTTATTTATTTATTCATGAGAGACACAGGCAGAGGGAGAAGCAGGCTCCCCGTGGGGAGTCCAGTGCAGGACTCGATCCCAGGCCCTGGGATCACAACCTGAGTCAAAGGCAGAAGCCCAACTGCTGAGCCACCCAGGTGTCCCTGTTGGTTATTTTTCCTATTAGATAGAGGACAAGGGCGTGGCAGTGAGCTATACAAATAATAGGTAATCACTTCCACTCCACATTGTGCTACTTTGCAGGGGTGGACAGCAGAATAAACCTCTTACCACTGGGCTGACCCACTGGGTTCTTTCCGTCCTTGTGGATGTACACTGTCTCTGGTCAGATGTGCACTGACCCGATCTCTGGTTAACTGCTGTTCACCAAGGCAACCGAGTCACAGTGGCAATTAAACCATCACTCCTCCAGGCTGAGATGGCAGACATGTCCACACCTTGGATACAATGGGACTGTGACTCTCCTGCATCATATCTGTATTAAACATTGAGCGAAATTAATCATTGCAGCTGACGTCAAACAGAAACTGAGATTACAGTAGTCTTCAAAGTGTGGGGAGCAGAAAATCTGTATCTACAAGCACAACCTCTTTCCAAGATCACTAGAATCCTTTCAGAAAGGAAACTTTACAAGGTGAATAATGAAGATTAGCCTTACTTACACAGAATCCAGGCCAGGGAGCTGTATGGTTTTGCATGAACATGTACCCAATCTCTAATCTAATAATCTTGGTCTATAAATTTCTAGCAGTCTATGTTTGTCTTTCTTTCTTCCTTTCTTTCTTTTTTTAAATATTTATTCATGAGAGACACACAGGGAGGGGCAGAGACATAAGCAGAGGGAGAAGCAGGCTCCCTGCAAAGACCCTGATGTGGGACTCGATCCCAGGACCCCAGGATCCCAATCTGAGCCAAGGGCAGATGCTCAACCACTGAGTCACCCAGGTGTCCCTATGTTTGTATTTCTTGTTAACAAGGCAATTCCACGCCTTTCCTTTGTTAGATTCATCTGTAAAGAGGCTCTCAGGAATCCATTTTGGGATGTGGGCTAAGGGGCTGTGCCGTGTACTAACTGGGAACTAAGACTCTGGAGACTGGTGCATCAGTCTACCTGGTTGGAGTCCCTTCTCCCCTGCTTTGTAGCTGTGTGACTTGGGCAAGTTGTTTACCCTCTTTAAGCCTCAGTTTCCCCGTAAGGTGCTGCTGTAGGGTTATATGAATAATGTCAAGAATTTAGCCCAGTGCCTGGCTGAAAGGCCCAGTACATATTAGATACAATTTATATTTATTGTCAGTTAAAGACCTAAGGGAGTTTTAGTTGTGTTTGTTTCACCAATTTTTCTTGTTATGCTAAATCTAGCCAGGACAGTTTTCGGTCTGGGTTTTCTTTTTCTCTCCCCACACCCATCCCTTCCCCATCTCTCTTTTCATTACTCTCCTCAAAGCAGGAGAAGGTGATCATGAAACAACCACTGGAAATGAAGTCTGCTCTGTGTTCATCCATTGGGAAAAGGCTTTGATCACAGCCGAGCTGTGGGTGTTTGGCAGGCTGCCAGCTTCTGCCCATGAGAAGAGGCACCTCTGAAGCTTTAGATATTTTTAAAAAGCAAGGGAAAAGGGCGGCTCGTGGGTTCCTCAAGGGTGTATATAAATGGCATCTTTCCTCCTCCCAAAGCCTCAAGGGCCTCCCCCTTTTCCAGGGCGAGGGTGTTTCCATGCTCCTTGTTTTTCTTGGCTGTGAGCTGGCAGGGAGCACACAACCCTGTCCTTAGCATTCTGGTGGTTCCCAAGCCCAGTGCTTGTCTCTGGCCCTCATTAGAGTGGGCTGTCTCCAGCATACAGAGGAGACTGGAAGAGCCAGCCTGCCTTGCACCTACAGCAGGGGCAGGAGGGCAGGTCCTCTGCCTCCTGGGAGCCAGCCCCAGAAGCATTATGTAAATAACTTCTTGGAATTGCCAGCCTAGCTCTGGTGGGACTGGAAGATCACCTTGCAAGTGGGCGGGAGGCCAGCCTGACAGATGGCCTGGGCTGCTACAGCATGACCCACATTAGGCCCATCAAGTGTGTTCCCTGAAGGCTAGTGGCCCAGCCAGGAGGGGCAGGGCGGCTGTCCAGGGGGACAGCTCAGGCTTCCATGTGGGTTCCCAGCTTTGCTTCCCCCTCCTTCCCAACAGTGCTATCTCTGAAAGGGAAAAGACCAGCTCTGTCTTTCCACTTTAAAGCACATATCTGGGCCTCATGATTTTGGGTTGATGTCTGGCCCAGACATGACAGCCCCTTACCAAAGTGGCCAAATGTTTCCATCAAATGAACCAGCTACTAGGATGTTAAAAAGGATAACAAAATAGTAAAGCCTACTTGGAAACTTTGTTCAGAAACCCTGTGACTTCTAAAGAGCATTAAGAAATAATGAACTTTCAAATTTTATGATTTCACGTCCTCTAAGACCACAGACCTCTTAGCTGGTTCTCTTCTTTCAAGCATGAATCCTTTTTATAATACTTAGGAAGTAAATGTATAACCTTTTTTCTTCCTTACATTCGGAATAAAGCCTGGGGAAATTTAATGTTTCTGGATTCAGCCTGTGGATTTGAGATAAGGATTCAAGGAGAGAAACCTTTTAACTCAGAACAGAATCTGTTTGCAGCTATTGTTCAATTAACGTAAAGTATCTGGTTCCTGGGCATGTTGCATAATGCATGACAGCGTAAACCAAACCTCTTAAGTGCTGACACTGAACTCCTTGATAACAGTGAAGAGTGAAGTAAATTGTTAATTTTTTAAGAAGTCCCCTAAAACAAAGCTTCTCAAGACTGAATGAATCAACACTTTTGAGCTGAGTCACAGCCAAGGGATGTCCCTGTGTGTGCTCATGCTGATAAAAAATCTAGAAGGAAACAAAAAAAAACCAAAAACCCCACATGTCATGTCCTCTTTAAGAGCCAGAAAAGCTGTCAGAAGAATTAAGATTAAACCTCACGAGAGTCTGTGGGTGTGGAAAGTCACCAGCTAGCTAATATTAACATAGCTTGCAACAGAACGCTGTTGCTAGAAATAGGACAATCGCATCACTACCACTAAGCAATTTGCATTCTGTGGACCAGCCCCTAAATTCCTCCCGGCTCCTTCTGCCCTTTGAGCATTGCATTTCTGGACGCTTTTAGATGGTCGGTGCTCGTACTTCGCTGTCTGGTTTCACCAAGAACCCTCCCCAAAAAAGGAAGCTGCAAGAACATTTGCTTTATTTGCAGGAAAGTGATCAAGCTACAAGCAAATCTTAGGCATCTGAGGAATTGTGAAGCTTCTAGACTTCATATGGTTGCTGACAGGGTGGGGCAGACAAGAACCTTCTTACTTTCCTCACCATGGATAATCTGTTGCCTCAGTCTAGATTCTCTTATTTCAAAAAATATCCTCTACATGCAATTAGGAAATATCTATCGATGCTGAGAAACCAAAAAGCTGAAGAACAGGTATCATTTTGTTTATATTATCTTTAAGGCTAACTGGTGTTTGCTTTCGGGTGCTGCTTTTATGTGACTTAGTGATTCAATGTCTGCTAGTTTACATGTTTATAGGCACAGGTCGGCTCCTGCTTGGGGATATTCAGATTTAGCAATCAGAGAAGCAAGGAGGCTTGTGAAGATTTATTTGAATTTGGAATATTATTTGAATCCTGACATTAAGCTCAAGGTTTGTAATAAAGCCATTCGCTTTTCCTTTTTCTGAATAGTTAGACTAAACTACTCTAGCAGTTAAACTGTAGACTCCTTGACAGTTTTCTAGGGCTTCAAATACAAATTTTAAACCATTAATATCTTGACAAATAAAAGTATTAGACCCTAGAAATGCACTTGTCTTGTGTGTATTTAAGGCTATGTTATTATCACCAGGATTTGCAAAACAAAAAAACATTGTGTAGACTAAATATGATATCCTCAAACAGATTGCTAACGAGCTATGACAATCATTCAGAAGTAATTAGTCACTTTCTTTATGGAGGTATATAGGGCACTGCAGTTTTCAATCTTTTTAGCCAATCAAAAGTTAGGGTTTCTAGTAGTAGACTCTCTAGCGTGTGGGAATATAAACATTAAAAAAAATGGCTAAAATGTCTGATCACTTCTTGTTTAAAATCATACTTTCATTTTGTGTTTCGAAATTTATTTCATTCTATCCCTTACAATCGATGAGAAGGCATTCCTAAAAACCATGTTTCTGAATTGTACCAAATTGTAAGAAGAAATAGCTGTATCTGATCTATTTAAATCTGATTGCTCAGGACACCTGGGTGGCTCAGTGGTTGAGCATGTGTCTTTGGTTCAGGGCATGATCCCAGGGTTCTGGAATAGAGTCCCACATCGGGCTCCCTGTGAGGAGCCTGCTTCTCCCTCTGCCTATGTCTCTGCCTCTCTGTATCTCATGAATAAATAAAATCTTTAAAATAAATAAATAAGTAAATCTGGTGGCTCATTTAGGAAAAAGTATGACCATGGTAAAGAACAAATGTATAGCCACATGCAAGACCCAAAGAGTCCTAAATTGCTTGCATGTCATGCTTATAACTAGAACTGCAAAACTGCATGGGAGATATTAGTACTGTTCTGTATTTGAATGAGATGACCTACTTAATAAAACACTTCCAGGAAGTGAAAGCAAAGGTCAGCAGACAGAAAATCCTTTAATGACAGGCTTCCCAAAAAGTCAATGCTTAATTTGGGAGATAAAAATCATTACCACTGTTCAAGGGAAAACTGCTTTTATGCCATGCTTTAATGATTTTGCAAGAGCTGGAAATTCAGGCTGTGCTTACTAAGGGGGTTGGGCTGGTTCAATTTATCTCTTACTTAAAGGCAAGGTGTCCTGATTACAAGAGAAATCTTTTGGTTTCCCCCTCTCAGCATGTGCTTGCTTTTGAAGTGGAAAGCTAGAGACCTGGGTGGTGGTACTCTGAGTTGTCTGCTACACTCACTAAGTCCACATCACAGGCTTCTTCAGGCCTCATTATAGGGGGAGGTGGGTGGGGTGGGTGGAGGGGTTGAGCAGTAGGGAGTGGCTGAAAGGATGGGCTGGAACTGGATGTGGATTATTCCCCCCCCCCTTTCTTGGTGTTTTAAGTTTTCAGAGATGTGTCTATGGTGTTTATGCAGTTTATTTTTTTGTGTTTCAAAAATATTACAAAATGCATTCCGAAGAACATTGGAATATAACATGGATCCTCTGACTTGGACTGGGTGGGTGGTGCCCTCCCCATTTTGAACCATTTTGGGATAACCCGGCAATTATGGACATTGTGCCAGTTGTGAGTGTGTTTTTTTAACTTTCTATACAAATTAATGGAGAAATAAAGAAAAAGAACACATTCAATTCTTTTCTGAAACCAATTAACAGCTCTGCAGACAGACTGTCTCACAGAATTAGAGAAATTAGGTCAGAGTCAATCATGGCTAACCTTGGAAAGCTTGTTGGAAAGTTATAAAGAAGATTAACAATGTCTATGATTTTAGGACCCTCATATCTGTTGTGTCTAATGCTTAGAGTCAGTCCTGTAATATGGACTCTCAGTCTAAAGGTGAGGGAAGTAAGCTCTCAAGAGCCCTTTCCCAAGGCCACTCACCTATTGAAGGAAGATTGGAATTTCTGTCTGCCTTTATTTATTTATTTTTTTAAAGATTTTATTTATTTATTCATGAGAGACAGACAGAGAGGCAGAGACAGAAGCAGACTCCATGCAGGAATTGATCCCAGGTCTCCAGGATCACGCCCTGGACTGAAGGTGGTGCTAAACCGCTGAACCACCCGGCTGCCCTGTCTGCCTGGCTTTAAACTTGAACCATTTTGAGGAGCCTGGCTGGCCCTGTCATTAGAGTATGCAACTCTTGATCTCAGAATCATGAGTTCTAACCCCACATTGATAGTAGTGTTTATCTAAAAAAGGAGAAAAAAAGCTTGACCCATTTTACCGTGCTTATCTCCAAATGATCTATGCTAACATAATGATAGCAATGTAGCAAACTGCTAATCTTTCTCCTAGAGAGTATTTCTAACACTTCAGATGTTCATATACCACTGTCATAATTCTTACCATAAGCTCAGGGTGTGATTAACTTAATATTTTGCTATATTTGCATTTAAATCACATATTTTTTTCTTTACTTTTTTGCTGTTTTTTTATTATACACTACATTAATACACTGCATAACCTTCTAGAAGGGGTAGGTGAGCATTACTAAGTTATTTTTCACTAATTAGGAAAATGGTCTCTTATTCCATATTCTCCAAACCCTTAACATATAGTAACAATTAATTCCGGAGACATGCCTATCTCTTTCCATCAAATTCCACTGATATGAAAAATGGGTAACACTCTTCCTCACCCCCATTAGCGAACCTGTAGATGTGATGTGTGCAGTGGCCATGTCAGGGATGAGCAAGCACACCGCCCTGACACCGATCCCCAGGCAGAAACTCGAACCACATGGCAAAGCAATTGCCAAGCAAATCACTTACTTCTTTTTTTCCCCTAGATTTATTTATTTATTTGAGATACAGAGAGAGGCAGAGACACAGGCAGAGGGAGAAGCAGGCTCCATGAAGGGAGCCCAACATGGGACTTGATCTCGGGTCTCCAGGGTCATGCCCTGGGCCGAAGCCAGCACTAAACCGCTGAGCCACCAGGGCTGCCCCAAATCACTTACTTCTTAAACTTAAGTTTGTTTAGAAAGAAAATTTTACGTAACTACTATAAATGGAAAACTACTGTCATTTACCATAAACAGAAGAGAAACATAAATATAATAAAAACATAATAATATTAAATTCTAGCTAGACACTGTTACCTGGGAAACCTCTGAGCCTGAAACATACTCTGTTAAGAAGGAAGATTAGCATCTTGATAACCAACTGAGACATTTTCTCTGGAAGAGATGGAAGGGAATGAAAAGATAGCTTTCTCAATTCCAAGGAATTCATTGTTATTTAATGTAGTGTCTCCCTGCTTCCTAAAATCTTTCACCCCATCTAGCACCATTGGGTTCTCCCCATGTTGTGTACACCCACATGGAAAATACTATCACAGGCACACTATCTGCTTCTTCACCTCTGTGCCTTCAAAGACCCTCCTCACTGTAACCTAGAATTCTGTCCTTTACCTATAACTTGCCCACCTGGAGATTGCCTATATATCTTTCAAGACTCAGGTTATTATTATTATTACTTTTTTCAGGTTAAATGACTTCTGTAAAAAAACTTTTCTCCAACTGGGCTAGGAAGAGTGAAGCACAGCCCTTCCTCTTCTAAGATGTTCATTCTGTTTGTGTCTAACAGAGCCCCTTATTATATTACATGTAGTAAGCCATTTGCTTACATGTATACATATGTGAACCCATACATGTGTACCATGGGGGAGTATCTTGCTCTTTGTTGAAGCCTGGTATAGGCTGGTGTGGGAATGACTCCTAACACAGGCAGATTGCCTATGGAGCATACTTCCTTTCTTGGCTCTACCTATGTCTGGCCTGGGCCTGGTAGGTTCCCATATATTCCACTGTTCCCATATATCCGGCATATCCTATTGTCAAGGCCATTGTTACACTCACCTTGTCCACAAATGTTTTCTCATTTCAAGCTTCTCCTCAGGATTCTTCCCCCTTGCACTTGGTGTCATACCAACATGAAGGTTTGACCTGAGGCTGGTTTGTTTGGGAGTTTTTGTTATTATTCCTACTGTGATATGTCAATCAGTGGATGGACAGGTTATTTATCAGATGGAGAACAAAGATCTCACCCTTTGTATTCCTAGACCCTATTATTGCAGGTATTTCACAAAGCCAAGTCCCTACCTAAGTAGAAGGTTAAGGTCATTAATTAGATGAAGATGTAGAAGTTTGGGGAGATTAGATGATGAAACATTTCTGAACAGCATTATTCAAATAGTGGCATGGTGGTGGTGGTGGTGGTGATTATGCGGACATATCCTGAGCCTAAACAAGCCCTCAGATGAGTATGGGCAGGTGCACTGAGACTTTCATAAGAGTATATGGTTGCAGTTCTTTTCTTTTGGTCTGATACGAATAGCCAGGGTCTGGTTCAGATATAGATGTCTGAGCTTGTGGGAAATAAGTGAGATGTGCAGGCAATATTTTCTTGAGTACTGGAGCCCCATCAGCCTGCTCTGTGACTCAGGTGACCAAATGGGACACTGAGTGAGGAAGGGAGAATATGCTCTACTACTGGGCAGACTATAGACTTGGCTATAGCCCGGTGAGGCCTACAGAGAATTGAGTGCCCTATGAAACCCCAGGGAATGCTGTTCTTAGGGAACATTGTTCTTTTTTTTTCTTTTTAAAAAAGATTTTATTCATTTATTTGAGAGAGAAAGACCACATTGAGGTTGGGTAAGGGGAGAAGCAGACTCCCCACTGAGCAGAGAGCTCGACTCAGGGCTTGATCCAAGGACACATGAGGTCATGAC